CTGTCTTTAATTAATAGAGGGGACAAGCTTTAGGTACGCAGTATGTATTTTGCCTCTGGTGTCGTGCAATTAACATTAATGAAGCGTATTTTAAATTTGGTGAAAGAGCAAAGGGTTTCCCAGGTCCTCTGTGGGCTCCTGTGTCCAGACTGAGGTCTTGGGTGGCAGGTTTCTTTGTTTGATGTTGTGTGCATTTCCTTGAGCCAATGTGCAGGCTTGGATAGAGGTAACTACAGGAGGTGTTGTTACTGAGAAATGTGCTGCCAGCATCCCAAATACCCAGCCCGTCTTAAAGATAAGGAAACTCTGAAAAAAAAAACACAGTCACCTGTGAAGAGTTTTATTTTTTCTTATGACTAAAAAGGAAGGGTCTAGAGACAAAGGGAGCAAAGGCCCCTGAACCTGGCAGCTACCTTGCGAGATCCCGTCACATCTTTGGGTGGGGTGCCTGCTCCTGTTCTCATTGAGCATCTAAGTATAATGACTTGACTGAGCTAGAGTTTCTCTCAGCACTTCCCTGTAGCCATTCTAGGGAGCTTATCTAATAAAGTATTGAGTAATATTCTTGAAGTCAGATGATTTTTTAAAATTTCATCTTGTTATATGTTATATTTCATTCTCACTCACTTATGTGCGTCTTTATTTATTTTACCTGTTCCTGATACTTCACCTGACCATAGGAAATCTGCTGCTAATCGCTTTTTTCCTAACCATAAATGGAGATAATAACACACGTCATCTAGGGTTCTGATGTACAGAAAGCTCTTAGTAAGTGTTTAACCCATATTTAACATTCAAAAAAGAAAAAAAAATAGCAACTCTGGAAAAGTAGACCAAATATTTGAGATGCAACCTGAAAGGACCACATATCTAAGTCATATATTCACTTCTCCCTCTTACCCTTTCACCTATGTTTTTTTTCTAGTGTACATGGCCTTATTTAAAAGCATGGGTTATTCTGGCTACAGATGAGTAAGTTCTACTTTGAGTTGAAATGGATGTGATGAATGTTGTAGGTAGACCAGATGCCTCAAAGCATTTTTGCCCACCTCTACAAAGAACAATTGGGCTTCCCTGGTGGCTTAGCTGGTAAAGAATCTGCCTGTAATGCAGGAGACCTGGGTTTGATCCCTGGGTTGGGAAGTTGCCCTGGAGAAGGGAATGGCTACCGACTCCAGTATTCTGACCTGGAGAATTCCATGGTCTGTGTAGTCCATGGGGTCGCAAAGAGTTGGACACTACTGAGCGACTTTCACTTTTACTTAAAGGCAATTGGGCTGTTGAGGGGCTGTGAATGGACAACCGTAGTGGGCAACATATGGGAAAAACAGATGATTTATTATCAAACGCCCATGATCTCAACCACATCACCACATTTAGGTTTTATGCAGGTGATGAGTCGGAAATAAATCAGACAACAGAGAAAAAGAAACGATTTCCCTATGAGACTTCCATGGCTCAGTGATAATAACGTTTGCATGAATACCTTACTAATATAATGCAAACTGTCAAAATTGCAGCTGAAATTTTTGTAGAAATTGAAAAGCCGATCCTAAAACTTTATACATGCTTGTAAAGGACCCTGAATAGCCAATGCATGCTTCAAAAAGAACAAAGTTGGAGGCCTTCTATTTCCCACTCTCAAAATTTACTGCGGAGTAATGAAGACTGTGTGGTCCTAGCATAAGCATAGACATACAGATAATAGGATAGAGTCAAGAGTCCATAAATAAACTCTTAGAAGTGGTCAGTTGGTTATCAGCAAGAATGCCAAGATAGTTCAGTGGGGGAAAGAATAGTCTTTTCAACAAATGATCTTAGAACAGTTGGATGTTCACATGCCACAGAATGAAGTAAAATTGCTTGTGTTCACTATATATACAAATTAGCTCAAATGGATCATAGACCTAAATGTAAGAGCTAAAACTGTATAAGCCACTTAGAAGAAAGATAGTATATTTTTGTGATGCTGGGTTAGGTAGTGGTTTCTTAGATATAAGCCCAAAAAACACAAGTGGTGCCCCCCCCCAAATATATATGTAAATTGTGTTTCATCACAATTTAAAACTTTTGTGTTGTCAGTGATACCATCAGGAAAGTGAAAAGACAACGCAGAGAATGAGAGAGAAATTTTGCAAATTGTCTGATAACAGACTCCTATCCGAGATATATAAAGAACTTTTATAAATCAATAAGATAATTACCTCCATTAAAAATTGGCTCAGCAACTAAATAGACAATAGGTGTTTCTCCAAAAATATAAATTGCCAAAAAATACATAAAAACATGCTCAGCATCATTAGCCTTTAGAGAAATGCAAATAAAAATACACTGAGGCACCACTTTATACTCACTAAGGTGGCTTTAAAAAAGATAATGACAAATATTGGCAAGAATGTGGAGAAGTTGGAATCGTAATGTGTTGCAGTTCGAATTGTAAAACGGTGCAGCCACTCTTTGGGAAACAGCCCCACAACCCCTCAAGAAGTTAAGCATAGAATTAACCATATGACCCAGCAGTTCCATGTCTACATATATACTCAAGAGAAATAAAAAGCATATATTTCCACAATAACTTGTAAATGACTGTTCATAGCAGTAATATTCACAGTAGCAAAAAAAAAAAAAAAGGAAAAAGCTGGAATGTCCATCAACTGGCCGATAGTTCAGTGAAAACATGATATGTCCATACAGTGTGGGTTTTGGCCACAGAAAGCAATGAAAAACTGATAACCTGGAACAGCATGGACCAACCTTGGAAACATTACGTGTAATGAAAAAAGCTAGCCACAGAAGACCACATACTGCATGATTCCATTTATATGAAACACCCAGGATAGGCAGATCCATCAGATAGCAAGCAGATTAATGGTGTCTTGGGGATGGGAGTGGTTAGTGACTATTAATGGATATGGGGTTGCTTTTTGGGGATGTGAAAACGTTGTAAAATTAACATGTGATGATGTTTGCACAAATTATGAATATATTAAAAACCATTGAATTGCACACTTTCAAAAGGGTAAATTGTATGCCTTCTGAATTGCATCTCAGGAATTTTTAAAAGAAATCCATGCATATAAAGAAAATTTGGACAATAACAAAAACCATAAAAAAAAGAGGTAAGCAATCTAACAATATCCTACACATGCAGAGCTAACATTTTCCTGTACTTCCTGTTTTGCTGCCTGAATGTATAAAAATCTTTTTTTTTTTTTTTTTTTTTTTGGTGGGGGAGGGAGGGATATGCATCAGACATATAACATTTAATTTCCTGCCTTTTCAGTTGACTTGAGAAGTTTGGGATTCTCTGACTTAATCATTGCTGATTATCTAATCTCTGCTGTTGAATTTTAAGTCTAGTTCATATACAATTTAATAATTCTCCCTCATATATATATATAATTATTACTCACCCTTGAGGATGAATCTTGGAAATTGTACTAGTTTGCTAGGGCTGCTGTAACAAATTACTGCACACTTGGTGGCTTACGGAAAAGCAGGAATCTAATTTATCCCAGTTCTGGAGGCCTAAAGTCTGAAAGCGAGACATCTGCAGGTGGTCCCTCCTGGATGCTCTGAGGGCGGGTCCAGTCCACGCCCCTCACGAGCTTCTGGTGCCCTGGGCACTCGTCCACCCCCCTTTCTCTGTAGATGCATCTCTCCGGTCTCTGCCTGTCTTCACAGAGTCTTCTCTGTGTGCCTTCTGTCCTTCTCTTCTTTTGTAAGAACACTTGTCAATAGCATTGAGTTTTCCCTTATTCCTGAGGGATCTCATCTCAAAATCCTGAACTTAATTAACATCTGTAAAGACCCTTTTCTCCAGTAAGGTCCCATTCACAGGTTCCTAGTGAGCCTATCTTTTGGGTCCACCATTTAATCCATTACGGAAGCAGTGGCATATGGGGTGGGTAGGAGGTGGCTGTAGGAACCGTCTGCCCATGTGTAGGCAGAATGGGGGACAGAGTGAAGTAGGTCAGAAACAGCAAAGCAAATATTGTTTATTAACACATCTATATGCAATCTAGAAAGATGGTACTGATGAATCTACCTGCAGGGCAGGGATAGAAACTCAGACATGGAGAGCAGACTGTGGACACAGCAGGGAAGGAGAAGGTGGAACAAACCGAGAGTAGCCCTGAAACCCATGCATTCCCGTGTGTAAAGCAGATGGTTAATGGGAAGCTGCCCTGGAACGCCCGGAGCGCGCCGAGTGCTCTGTGGGATGAGGGGCAGGGCGGGGACATGCCTATACCTGTGGCTGGTTCACGTTGATGGGTGGCAGGAACCAGTACAGTTTTGTCATTATCCTCCAATTAAAATAAATACATTAAAAAGGAAAAATAGCAGTAATAAAATTACCAAACGTTACTGTGCTTTATAATGTCATCATTCAGTGGAAATTCTGAACATTATCAATGATGCAGTATCTTCCTTTAGAGGTACGAGTTGCTATCCTTTGACCCCCCCCCCCCCCCCGCCACTTCCAATGTACCCCATTGCTTGGAAACAGGATTACTGGGCGAAATAAGGTAGATATTTCTAGTTCTCATGAGATAATGAAAATATTAACACATGATTTAAGTATCCTCAACTTAATATCCATGGCATGGGAGTATATAGTCTTCCCAGCTTTGTACAAGATAATGTAAATATAAATAAGTCTGCTCATTTAGTAGGTAGAGTAAGCACAGATTGAAATAGATGGTAGAACCTGTACTCCAAGCAGGGTGACCAGCTCATCCCAGTTTGCCCAGCACGGTCTCAGTTCTGGCAGTCAGAGTCTCTCGGGCCAGGAACCCCGTGGTCCCCAGCCGCTCAGCACAGTCGCCCACTGAGAGTTCAAGCCCTTCCCCAGCAGAACTGTCTCAGATGTGACATTCCCAGCTGCCTGTAATCTGCAGGATAGTGAAGACTGGTTACTCCCGGGGGGCGGGGAGCATGGCTTTCCTTGGTCTCAGAGTGTTTATTTCCGCATAACGCTGGGATGCTTCATTTCTCAGGTCACTCCACGTGCTTGTGTGCAACGCAGCTGTGTTTGGGCTCCCCTGGACCCTCACGGAAGACGGCCTGGAGGCCACCTTCCAGGTGAACCACCTGGGCCACTTCTACCTCGTCCAGCTCCTGCAGGACGTCCTGTGCCGCTCTGCCCCTGCCCGGGTCGTTGTGGTCTCCTCGGAGTCTCACAGGTGGGTTACAGTTGGACGTTCTTTTCAGAGGCACCCTTCCCTTGACCAGCTAGTGGTCCCCACCCCCAGGCTCTCTTTCTGGGTTTTTTAAATACATGATTCTATTTACTTTGGGCTGTGCTGGCTGTTTGCTGCTGCGCGGGCTTTCTCTGGTGGTGGCGGGGGGGAGCCCTTTTAGCTGCGGTGCTCAGGCTGCTTGCTCTGATGGCTGCTCCTGTGCACGGGCTCCGTAGCACGCCGGCTTCAGGAGGTGCCTCGTGGGCTTCGGTCGCTGGGGCTCCAAGGCTCTAGAGCACGTGCTCACGAATTGCGATGCACGGGCTTAGATGCCCCAAGGCACGTGGGCGCTTCCCGGATCAGGGATCGAACCACTGTCTCCTGCATTGGCAGGCAGCTTCTGTACCACTAAGCCACCAGGGCAGCCCTCTGTTTTTGAAGATAATTTTCATTAGTGATTCTCCAAAGAGTCTATACTCAACCTGGCTCCTGAACTTATCAAGGTTTTATTTATTTTTTGTGATGGTGGGCGATTGTCTAGGGCTAGTGTAGACAGCACGGTAGATGGTTTTTATAACTATACTTCAAGCCCCTCATTGATTTTGCTTCGAGATGGAATAATAATTGATTAAATCTGAATGCCTGACCTTTATTGATTTGTCATTCACCAGCCTCACCACCTCACCAAGAAGAATGTGCAGTTATTCTAGCAGTAGAAACAATGCAATTAAAGACCGCGAGATGAAATCCAATTGTTTTATAATGAGAAATTAGGGAATTCAATGCAGACATTAGCTGTGTAATTGTAGAAAGGAAAGTACTGTAGTTAGAACATATTAGAAATCTGGCCATGCCTCTTTTGGTTAAAATTTCAATTAAAACATCAGATGGCAATTCTTTTCTATTACCATTAGGAGAATATTCAGTCGACTAGGAAGGCATTTGAAAATTTCCTCGTATTTTCAGCATATTTGTTTCTAGAGGTGGATAAACAACTGAGAGAAGTACCGGGAGAGGATGAGGGAACTGCCGGGTGAAGCTAGAGTTTAATATACATTATGGAGATTTTCCCAGTGTGGATGGGGGCTTTCACTCCTAGCAAAGTAGCTGGAGAAGAAGAACGTGCCGGGGCCTGTTTTTTCCCCCCTTCCTCTTCTCCGACTTAAGTCCTGAGATGTCTTAGTGACCCAGAATGAAGCTTATTTTTTTTAATCACGCTTCCATAAAATGTAACCCCTGGGACTTGGAAGAGAGAGACCAGCCAAGGGTTAGCCTGAACCGTTTATCACTCCCAAACACAGGGGCTTATGGTCGAAGTGACACGCTGCGGATAGATTTACTTTTGCCGTTTGAAATTTATGACGGCCGAAATGAAAGGAAAATGCCCGTAATAATCCTCCCCCGTGTTAAAAGACACGGGACGTCTCATAATGAGGTGGTAACAAAATCTGGACATCCTTATCTTTGCAAATCAGACCAGGTTCCTGGAAGTGGAGTGGCCCTGCTCAGGCGTGAGGGGGAGCCCCCTGTGGGGGCAGGTGATGGGGTGAGAGCACGGGGATAAACCTGCCAGTTGCTGTCTTTCGCCAGATGTAGAGGGCACCCCGGGATTGGTTTAAATGAGCTGGTATTTAATGGGCGAGTCTATGGAGTTGTCAGCCGCCTGCTTCCCTTCTCAATCTGGATCTGACATGGTTATTTCATGTGGTGTCTTTGTTCTCCCCTTAACTGCAGTGTAATTCATGCTTACCTTGGAGATCCAAATCTTAATTTCATTTAATAGATGGATCGGGAGGCAGGGCTTTGGCCCCTTGAATTCAATCCATTTTAGTTTCTAGACCAGGTCTTCCTGAAGTGCGTGTTATCAGGCCCGCTCCTGTCTGGTGCTGGGCGCTGGTTTTCCGATGAACTCGTGCCCATATTAAAGGGCGTTTATGCAAAATGTTAATCCCCCCAAGCTTGTCTGTTTATTACCCATGTGCCACACCCCAGAGCCAGTGTGAACACTGGGCGCACAGACCTGGGAGAGCGCCCACTCACTGCCCAAGGACCCAGAGCCCTAAAACCGTGTCGTAAAACAGAAGGGTTGGTATCTAATTACCTCCATAAACCTTGGCGGAATCTCTTCGTTGGGGTCAAGACCCCCTGTTAGGGGAAAAATAAAGTCCGATGTTTGCAGAAAATGTTATACCAGACTGCCCCAAGGCAAAATATTTATTAGCCTCCCTGAGTTGTCCCTGTATTTTGGTTACTTATCTGGAATCGGAACAAGTGAGTCGAGTTTCTGCATACCTCAAATCCACCCTATGAAAATGAGAACTTCCTTGCCATGAAAAATTTTCCAGATACCAATTAAAATAGAATGAAAAGAGTGGAGTGCTGGCTGAAGGGCGGTAGACGGCTGCAGCTGTGTGGAGTGCCAAGTTGCCACACACACAACACACATACGCACACACACACAGAGCCTCGGATGCAAATTCAGTCCTATTCTTTGAACATACTAGCTTTTGTCTCCATAGAATCCAGCCTAATTATGTTACTTGGGTTATTTAAAAATCCTCAGTTTAAAAAAAAAATAAAAATAAAGGAGAAGTATTTAGAGAAATACAAGATAAAGGTCTTCTCCAACAGCAGATGTTAATGTCCAGAGAGCAAGTGTTAACATGTTAGTGCTCCGGTAGGAGGAGAAATCTATTAAGACTTTATTGTTTGGCTTTGTCAATTTTTCAGCTTGAAAACAGGGTGGGCAGCCTTTGAAGACTTGTTTTGTTGCCTCTTGAGCTGAGAGGTGAATGTGGTCATTTTTCAGGGAGCCGGGTCAGCTCAGAGGAATCAGAAAGCTTGCCCACCCTCCCCGCTCCCTGGAGGACTGTCAAACAAGCTAATCAGGCCTTAGAAATGAGTGCACTGCCCAGGGGATCAGCAGGGCAGGAACTTGGGCTCTGCTGATGGCGAGCGGAGGGAGGGCCTGGTGTTAATAGCTGTGCTTCTCCATCTCGAAACCTTCCTTCAACCTGGTTCCATCTAACTTCTCATCATGGTGGATTTTATTTTGTTTTGGCCTCATTTTTAGGTTGGGGATTAGGAAGGCACACCTACCTCTTAGTAGGAGTTGAATCTAACCCAGTGTTCCCAAGTCTGCATTAGCCTTAAAAAGCCAAAGCATGAAGTCACTCTCAACATGAGAAAGTGCTACCTGCAAATATTCATGGAAAACATAAAGCATCTGAACCCAGTGGTGAAACTTGCCTTCTGCACAAAGCTCGAACAAAGCTTTTTGTGATAAGGAAAACTTGGCTCTTAATTTAGAATTATGAACCCATGACAAGGCTTCAGTTTTTTAATACTGTATCTAATTCCCACTATATGTCATAGGCAACAGTCAAGGAGCTCACTGTCCGTCTCTTGGGAGCTCACAGTCTAGGCCTGGAAGCAGGTGGAGAGTGGTCTGTGTGGTCAGAACAGAGGCATAAAGTGCCAGGGGGCTTGACTTGTGTTGTTGGTCACGTTGCGGGCGTGGCAGGTGCTTGAACAGTAGGAATACGATAGACCAGGTCCTGGAAAACGGACACCTCATCTCCATCTGCTCTGCATGCCATCTTTCAGTCTGTCCCTCACTGCCACCCAAGAAATCACTGTGGTATAAAGCAATGGAAGGATTAGTCAGGGAGAGCTTCCTGGAGGAAGTGATACCTGAGCTGGATTGGGCTAAACAGAGACCCCAAGAAGAGCGATGACGGCACAGCAGAGTGGGCGAAGCTTGCTGTATTCACCCTGCACCTGTTAGACGTTGTTGAAATCCTTGACGTTCTTCTCTTCCCAGAGCGTGGAGAACTTCTGGGATGTGGCCCTTACCTTTGATCATTGTATCCTCAACTCAGCAATTGTGTGTGTGTGTGTGTGTGTGTGTGTGTGTGTGAGACAGCTCTTCTGTAACACCTTATCACTGTGTTGAAATAAAATTCAGAAATAATATAACTTCCCTGCATACACATGTTGTAACTCAGTGGACTTACCTACCTGTAATGTTGTGCCTAAATGACTGTGAAGCTAAAATAACATGTGTTCCAACATGTCAGCGTATAGGCAGGCTCCAGTGATGGAAAGTTGTTGGAGTGCATGATCCTCCATCAGGATCTTCACACCTGCTGACTCTTGGCAGGTATGAGAGGTGAATGTGGTCATTTTTCAGGGAGCCGGGTCAGCTCAGAGGAATCAGAAAGCTTGCCCACCCTCCCCGCTCCCTGGAGGACTGTCAAACAAGCTAATCAGGCCTTAGAAATGAGTGCACTGCCCAGGGGATCAGCAGGGCAGGAACTTGGGCTCTGCTGATGGCGAGCGGAGGGAGGGCCTGGTGTTAATAGCTATGCTTCTCCATCTCGAAACCTTCCTTCAACCTGGTTCCATCTAACTTCTCATCATGGTGGATTTTATTTTGTTTTGGCCTCATTTTTAGGTTGGGGATTAGGAAGGCACACCTACCTCTTAGTAGGAGTTGAATCTAACCCAGTGTTCCCAAGTCTGCATTAGCCTTAAAAAGCCAAAGCATGAAGTCACTCTCAACATGAGAAAGTGCTACCTGCAAATATTCATGGAAAACATAAAGCATCTGAACCCAGTGGTGAAACTTGCCTTCTGCACAAAGCTCGAACAAAGCTTTTTGTGATAAGGAAAACTTGGCTCTTAATTTAGAATTATGAACCCATGACAAGGCTTCAGTTTTTTAATACTGTATCTAATTCCCACTATATGTCATAGGCAACAGTCAAGGAGCTCACTGTCCGTCTCTTGGGAGCTCACAGTCTAGGCCTGGAAGCAGGTGGAGAGTGGTCTGTGTGGTCAGAACAGAGGCATAAAGTGCCAGGGGGCTTGACTTGTGTTGTTGGTCACGTTGCGGGCGTGGCAGGTGCTTGAACAGTAGGAATACGATAGACCAGGTCCTGGAAAACGGACACCTCATCTCCATCTGCTCTGCATGCCATCTTTCAGTCTGTCCCTCACTGCCACCCAAGAAATCACTGTGGTATAAAGCAATGGAAGGATTAGTCAGGGAGAGCTTCCTGGAGGAAGTGATACCTGAGCTGGATTGGGCTAAACAGAGACCCCAAGAAGAGCGATGACGGCACAGCAGAGTGGGCGAAGCTTGCTGTATTCACCCTGCACCTGTTAGACGTTGTTGAAATCCTTGACGTTCTTCTCTTCCCAGAGCGTGGAGAACTTCTGGGATGTGGCCCTTACCTTTGATCATTGTATCCTCAACTCAGCAATTGTGTGTGTGTGTGTGTGTGTGTGTGTGTGTGTGAGACAGCTCTTCTGTAACACCTTATCACTGTGTTGAAATAAAATTCAGAAATAATATAACTTCCCTGCATACACATGTTGTAACTCAGTGGACTTACCTACCTGTAATGTTGGGCCTAAATGACTGTGAAGCTAAAATAACATGTGTTCCAACATGTCAGCGTATAGGCAGGCTCCAGTGATGGAAAGTTGTTGGAGTGCATGATCCTCCATCAGGATCTTCACACCTGCTGACTCTTGGCAGGTATGTGGCCTTACGGCTTCCAGTGCCACCAGCCTCAGGTCAAGCCTCACCCCCAGAATCCCAAAGCACACTCCTTCCTCACTCGCAAAGCTGTGGCGCTCCACTCTTGGAAGTTCAGTAGCTGTTAGGATGATGTATCTGTGCAGAGCACAACTCGATTCTAGTCTCAGATAATTACACACAGGCTTTCATCCGCATGCGTGTCCAGCGGGGCTGTCTTCCTTGAGCAAGACTCCCATTGCCTGGCGGGACATCCACTGTCCCTGGCGCCCCACCGGCAATCGTTATGACAACCAGAAAAAGGCCCCCATAAATTTCCAAATTTCCCGCCAAGTCCCACTGCTCCAGATGATTAAGCTCAGAAATCTGGGCTCTTCCCATGGTCTGGGGACCTGGAAACAACTGGGGTCTCACTGCCGTGTCCACACTGACATCTCCAGCCATCAGCTTTATTGATGCCTTCGTCTTGGTGAAGTCATTTAATACGAGAAACGGGATGTCACTGACTGAGTCCTAGAGAAGGGGTACTTAATTTCCATTAACACATGAATTTCTTGGTCCTAGCCCCACATGAACTACTTGCTCATATTAAGGAACTTCCAGATGGTTCTATAATTTCCGCTTCACCTTTTGCTTTCCTTTTCCTTAGCATTTGTTCCCAGTGCCCTCATATACTCCCTTTTTATTTGGGGAAAATGCCCGGAGTTAATTTAGCAAATTCTGAGGGTTCCTTAAAGAATATGAAACCAAATTCCTTCTGTTATGATTGTTTTTTTTCTTCTTCTTCTTCTTCTTTCTTTTGGTTGTTAGGGAAGTCATTACTTTGTTGTCATTATAAAAAGAAGAAAGGAAGGAAAGAAACAAACAGCTGGTGTTTAACGACTCCGTCAGACCCAATTATAAAACATCAACTACTTACTTTGATTTGTGTGTATCCATGCCATGGGTATACTTAAAAACATTAGACTCTGCCAGCACTCATTTTGGCTTTGTTTACATTTATCTTTTAAACGTATGAGACTATTGATGGCACCTCACCAAGGTTATAACCCCTTTATAATCATTAATTTTTAATCTGGATGAGAGTCTTGGAGGCAGCAAGTCTCATCTATATTTACTTGGATGCTCCAACGAAAACATACAGGACACAAATACTGGCTAAAATAACCCAGGAAAACCCTGTCAAGGGTTAGGAATGCAATATCTTTCTGCTTCCAAAAGCAGCAGCCCTTCATTTAAAATGTTTTCCCATTTAATTTAATTATCCTTGAACTTCCTGCTGACGGTTTTGAAAAAATAGATGTTAGAGGCAGGGATAGTGGATGGGGGTTCAGTGAAGACGACTCCATTTATGAGTCTGGCCCCTTGTTAAGTGTGTCTTTGGACCTGGTTGGTTTATATTGTGAAATCACCATTGTTTCTTTTTAAGGAGACTTTGTTTCAGTGGTCACCCAGTTGAGATTTCAGTCATCTCTGCATGGTTTTCTCAGATTTCTAATAAAAACACAAAGCTGTATAAGAAGCCAGGGGCTGACTGATTCATATCACATTTTCTGTTTTGTTTTTTTTTTAGATTTACAGATATTAACGATTCCTCGGGAAAACTAGACTTTAGCCGCCTTTCTCCATCGAAAAACGACTACTGGGCCATGCTGGCCTACAACCGGTCCAAACTGTGCAACATCCTGTTCTCCAACGAGCTCCACCGCCGCCTGTCCCCCCGTGGGGTCACGTCGAATGCAGTGCACCCCGGGAACATGATGTACTCAGCCCTCCACCGTGGCTGGTGGGTGTACACGCTGCTCTTCACCTTGGCGAGACCCTTCACCAAGTCCATGGTGAGTCAACAGCCGCAGTTGCCACACACTCCTCCCGTGTGCTTTTCTGGAAAGGGCACTAGAGAAACCCAGTCACACTCGCTTCCTTGGCCTCTCACCTCTCATGAGAATGAGTCTGGTCTTGAGCATCACGTCATCAGACCTTTTAGAGGGATGCGAAGGGGCGCTTGAGCACATTTCAGTTGACGTGAGTTCACATCTGTTTCTCTAGAGATGTCTCAAAGGCCCAGAGAGAAGCTGTGCGTTTTTGCTGTTGTGCTAACATGGCTGATGAAGATGGTTTGTTTACATTTGATGTGATCTTTTCTTTTTTTCCTTCAGTAAGCGCAGTCCTTCCAAACTGTTTTGTGTTAGTAGGTAAATAGCATGGGTTTGTGACTTTAGCATTCTCAGTAAATGTGGTTCCTTTGTTTCCATTGAGAGTCTATATTTTTGCTCTGAATTCTTCTTTTAATGGGTTTAAACCTCTGCTGGAGCATCCTTTGTCAGCTGGAGGCACATTTTATTCTTTACTTTGCCAAAGGTAAGTCCTTTTGGATGCTTCAGACTACCACATTTCGACTTGGACTTCACAAAGGTAAGTGTGAAGTTTTCCTGTTTTTGATGGCCCTCTCACAGCTGTCTCTGAACACTTCTTTCGTGAAAGCATTGAGTAGGAAGTCATTTGAGTGAAGAATGCGTATTGTACACAATATTTTTGGTATGGTACTTTTCTAAAATACAGGCCTCTAAAATTTCCCACCTACTTAAACTTCATGTTTGGGGGTGACAAACACAACGAGGAAAATCTCCTGATGTGCATAGGAAGAAAGTAAGCGTGTTTTTAAAATTTTGATCACACAGGTGTTTCTTATGCAAAATAAATAGATATAATCCAAGAGTTGAATACTTAAAGAACCAAAGAAGTGAGAGGACCTCTGGAGAGCCGTTCTCCAAGTTCAAGGGGAGTGTGTGCCACAGGCTTCTGTTGGTTCCTGCTTGACTGATTTTTCTGTGCTTGCATGAGAGTAGGTTTTCTGCAAGGGCGTCTTTGATCATGATTTTGGCTCATTGTCTTAAGAATATTGGTCTGGACTGGTGCCAGGGCCACTGGCAGGCCTGTGGATGAGTTGTTCAGGTTTAGGAAGTTGGAGAGGAGAGAGGAGCGTCCTTTCTCACTTTCCACTGGCCCTGCACCTTCATGACCAGTGGACCAGTCATCAAGTATAATTTGTAATCTCTGGGTCTTGAATTTCCTCACTTGTATTTGAACATTGGTGGAAGCGAAGGAACTCCTTTCTGTGAGATCAGGTCTTGTTTCTTTCTTATTCTGTGATTTCTCTAATCAGAGGAATGTGATGGTAAGGAGCTCGCTGTGGGTCTGTGATGACTCAGACCGTCATGGAGGGTGGTGTAACCGTCTGTTCCACTGTTGGATGTGGACTCCACTCACTGAGGGCGCCTTGATGGGCAATGACAACACTCTTATTCTGTGATGAGGTCCCAGGGCTTAAAAGCCCTGGATGGGGCAGGTGGGAGGAAGAGGAAGACTGGCTCTGGGAAAGTAGAAGATGGGGTGAGTGGTGTTCTGTTTCTTGGGGAGGGGATCTAATACTTCACATGAACACAGTATGTAAACATGTGTTTAGCTGGGTCGGGCTGTATTGTCAGCTTCTTGGATGAATCAGGAGGGTTTCTGAAAGTGCCAGCAAATGAAATCAGGCAGGCAGCCATGTCGCGATCACAGAGTATTGGGTGGTATTAATAACTAATACTGTTTGATGGTAACTCTGGTTGGGACAGCAACCAGTGGAAAAGCAGAGTGTGGATTTGGAAACCTAGGCAGAAGTGTTACCATACCGGAGAAGGTCCCCACTCACCACACTGGGAGCTGGTCCAGTGAGGCCTGATGCCCAGCACACGTGGCTGTTTCCTGCCCTCCCCATCCAGTGTACAGAGACCTTGGCCTCCTCCCAGCCCTGGCCCCGATCCTTCAGTCAGGAAAATGCCCACTGGGAGCAGCCTGGGGCGCCAAATCAAGCAAGATCTGGTCTCTGTGGCTCTGGGTGAAAGGGGCATTTGGGAAAATGAGCAGATAAGCCTTGAGAAGGCTTGGAGAAAATTGGTGACATAACCAAGAAAAACGCACTGAATTTTATCTAAGTTGTTTTGGCAGTGATGGAGTATTCCATGAAAAGGCAAGGAAGGTGTTAGGAAAAGGACTTGACAGGGCTTCCTGGTGGTGGTGAGTGTGAGAAGGCTGCTGCCTGGGATAGTAGAGCAAGCCGCTGTCTTGCTCATGGTCCTGCCAGTCAAGCCCAGCTCTCACCCTTGGCGTTGGGAGGACTCGGGCCCGACGTGCGGCCTTCCTGCGCTTGTTACCTCTCACCATAATGGCAACACAGGTTGGTGTGCGGGTTGACAGCGATGGATAGAGCACCTGTCGTAGCTCTGTGTATCTAGGTATTTGGTGCTGTTTCTTAGACAGCAGAGTCCCACGTGACTGAGATTCATCAAGAGGTGGGATGGGCTCCCTGGACTTGTGAAGCTCACAGCCAGTCACTTCTCTTCCACGAACATGCAGGACTCTGTATGTGGGGGAGGTCTCTGCCCTAGGGAGACCAGGGATCTACTATCTCGCTGGTAGGACAGACTGGACTCGCTGGAAGAGTCAGCCTGGGGTCTCATCCTTCTGTACGGGGCTATCACTGCTTCTGTCGCGCTAAGACATTGCTCTGTGGATGAAGGGCACGCGTCTGTCATTTTAATGCAGACCTGCTTTTGGACCTAAGCCATGCCGTTGCACCCACAGCCCCACCCCGTGTAGAAGCTGGACCCGAAGCGCCCGTGGAGAGCCTGAGCACAGATGTGGGGTCCCAGCCACCCGGGGCTGGCGTTCTCTTTGCGTTCTGCCATTGCCCCCTTTCCTTTGAGCCTGGAAGTTGCTGGAGTGTGCGTTCCATGTACAAGGTCAAGGGCACAGACACAGCCCAGCCCTGTGCTGGGAAGGCCTGCCTTTCTTTTCCACCGTCGCCGGCTCCCATGAGTGTTAAACAGCAGTATTCTAACATCAACGTCCCTTTTTTATTTGCTGTGACTTGCTGTGACTACAGTGATTTTAGTTACAGTAATTAGGTCACCCTTCATGGAGTCAGGCTATTTTAAGTGCCTCTTTAAGGAATATTGTTGCAGATTAGTAATTTTACAATTGGATGTTCTTGTGCAACTTTATTAAATGTAATCTGTCTTTTAAATGTTTCCCTTTTACAGTTATACATTTCTAATTGTTGCTGTAAATGCATTATCACTTTGAAATTAATTAATATTTCCATTTTGGCCGCCTGCAGTATAATAATCACTAATGAGAAACTCTTAGGGATTAATTCTTGACACAGCGACCCCTACCGGTGGAGCCTGTCTCTGACACGTCTTCCTCTGGAGGTCCAGTGGTCACGACCAGTATATGGGGGTTTGTGGGGAGACAAGCATTTTTCTCTCCTCCCTCTAACTTATGTTAAAATTAAAATAATAGATAAAAATGAGACTAGGATTTTCTAGAATATTGTTTTAAAAAAGATAACAGGGTTCTTTAGCTGCTTGATCAACATCTTGAAGGAAACTAGAGTTAACAGAAGCTTTCTAGTTTACACAGTCACATCCATCCATCTGTGTTATGTGCTTATTTTCCTGCCTATCTTGCTTTTTATTAAAATCCCTCTAAAATTACATTTTTCATATGGGCTCTAAAATTGCATGTTGCATATGAATGCATTTATATATATTGTATGTATGTGTGTATAATGTGTTTATACGTACATATTACTTTCTGGGGCTTAATTCACAAAACCAGGCATGTTGTTTTATCTAGTGATATAAGAAGTTCTCAAAAGTAGTTTTGGCTATTTTTCAGTTGTTGCCACATACCCAAGTAGGATGCAGCTTGACCGGTAAGGCCAGACACTGTGAAGCCTAAATGTATCAGCGTGTATGCCTTCACTCATTGCTTACAGCACTTTTACGTTAGAAACACCGAAAAAGCACATGGAACTTACCCAGCTTGTTCAAGAAGTTGGAATATCAGCCGGCAGACCCTTGGCCAGCTACTTGTCCGAGTTCATTTTCTTTGTCAAATGTACCGCCAGCCCTGCCGTATGGATCCAGCCCTGTGGTTATTTCCTTTTTCAAACATTTGAAAGCACTTTCATGAAGCGCACCCTCTCCCCCTTCTCTCCCCCACAGAAACTTGCAGTCCTGGTAAACCAGGTCTCAGCTCAGATTCCTAGGCCCACGCCAGCCCCTTGCCGTCAGTGTGGAAGTTTGAAGCTGAGCCCCCGTCACGTGCCCCTCAGAGTGTTTTGTGCAACCACATATTTGCCTTGGCAGGTAATGGTAGAAAGAGTATCATGTGTTAGGGTAGCAAGAGCTTAGCAGATGTTTTAGGGGGACCGCATTTTCAAATCGTTTTACATTAAAAAAAAAAAAAGCGACTTGAGTTTGTGGAACTTCTGAAACGATTGGGTTGCGTTTCCTGGGGCCGCACTCAGTCATCGTGCTGAGTTTTAACAGATGTGCGGCCACCCCGCTAATGGATGGGCTCGCGCCACCGTTCCTGTTGCGGAGTTATAAATTATAACTGGGAAAAGCGCTCGGTGTCATTCTTCTAACCTTCGGGAAAGCCAAGCCTGGTAATTCTGCCCTTGAATAACCCGCAGCAGGGTGATTTATAGTTGCACAATTTAAAACATAATGAAGGAGATAATAGATGTTGATTTGTTCTTTAAATTAGTATTTTAGAAAAATACTACCCCTCCCCCACCCCTCCCCTTTAAATACCTCTTGTTGACCAGGCTCTGGATCGGATCAAGGACAAAAGTCCCTGTCTGATCTCTGCGGGTATGTTAGAGTAGAAAAGCAAGGGGCCTTTTTGTGCTGAGAGGACGAAACATGGTTTTCAAAGTGGAAATTTCAGCATATTCTTCACTAATCTAAATATTTTGAGACTCCCGAGTGAGGGTTGAATT